TATTTTATTTTATTTTATTTTATTTTATTTTATTTTATTTTATTTTAATCACAGGTCATTGACTTGTATCCCAGCCTTAGCTCCCTTCTTTCCCTCCCAATCCCACCCTCCCTCATCTCCTCCCTGCCCCTTTCCAAGTCCACCAATAGGGGAGGTCCTCCTTCCCTTCCATCTGACCTAAGCCTATCAGGTATCTTCAGGCTTTAATGTTGAAGATATTGAACTGGCTTCAATGTTCTTATCTGTGGAGCCTTGAACTTTTCAATTAAAAAAAATTCAGAATTATTAAATTTTTATATTATAAAATTATTGCTCTTATAAGAATCTAAAGACATACCAGGACATACTTAAGTAGACTCAGCATGATCACATACAAAAACAAGTTCCACTAGCATCTTGATAAAAGCATACTGTTTCATTCACTTCACATTCCCCCGCAGCTACTATTGACAAGAAACTGGGGTCAGAGGAAGATCAGGCTGAAAACTTTACTTACTAATACCAAGTGGCTTTGGCTTTTCACATGCTGTGTCCAGACTTTACCAGGGAAGAATATTATAGAGAAAACACTTCATTACATATGCCCTTAAAATGCTGGATATATATAAAGTTTTTTTCTCTGCCTTAAACTAGGTTTGTGCCTGTCAAGTACGATCTACAGGAAAAATGTATGCCTGCAAAAAACTAGAAAAAAAAAGAATAAAGAAGAGGAAAAGTGAAGCTCTGGCTCTAAATGAGAAAAAGATCTTAGAAAAATTGCATAGTAGATTTGTAGTAAGTATCTTTTTACTCATGTTATCAGTTACTTTTGTTGCTGTGATAAAAACATCTGTCCAAAGCAACTGAAGGGATACAGTCTATTATGTCAGACAAGACATGTCATCCAGAGTATACAGTGACGGGTCACATTGTATCTACAGTCAGGAAACAGAGATATGAATGTTGATTTCAACTTCTTTTCTCTGTTCAGTATGGGACCCCAGGCCACGGGATGGTGTCTCCAGGGTTCAGGGTAGGTTTTCCCACTCAGCCAAACCTTTCTGGAAACAGTCCCAGACCCAGAAGTTTGTCTTCTAAGTGGTTCTAGAGCCTGTGAAGATGACAAAACTTAACCGTATATTGTTTCAGTCATCTCATTTTGGTCATCAGTCCTGTTGTAAACTCTGACTCAAGTTATGGACTCAGGTGCTGTTTTTCTTCACTGAGTTTTTGTGGAGTTTTTCTGTCCCCTATTGGAAATAGTTTGATTTTGTAATTATGTCCCTCTAATTTAGGCTTGGCAGGCATAGGGCAATGCTGATCCTGCTGTTGTAATGCTGTCTACCATACCATGCTGTCAAGTGTTCATACCTTGATGATTCTGGATAAGTGTTTTTTCTTCCCCTTGTAATAGCCAGGCTTATGTGTTAGCTGCCTCATCATCAGCTCTGGCCCATCAGCATGGTGACTTTGATGTACTTAAAGTTTCTTTTTTTAAGTCCTTCTAAAGTGAGCCTTTTCTTCTCTCTGATCTCAGTCTATTTCCCATCCTTTAATTCTTTCTTCCTTTTTTCCTCCCTCCCTCCTTCTTCCCTCCCTCCCTCCCTTCCTTCCTTCCTTCCTTCTTTCCTTCCTTCCTTCCTTCCTTCCTTCCTTCCTTCCTTCCTGTCTTTCTTTCTCTTTTCTTTCTTGCTCTCTTTCCATCTTTCTTTCTCTTTCTTTCTTGCTCTTTTTCCTTCTTTCTCTCTTTCTTTCTTGCTCTCTTTCCTTCTTTCTTTCTCTTTTTTCTTTCTTTCTTTCTTTCCCTCCCTCTTTCCCTCCCTCCCTCCCTTCCTTCTTTCTTTCTTTTTCTATGCCTGAAGTATTTGCCACTGGACCCTCAACTACCATACTCCAATTATCAGCTCTTTCAAATTTCACCCTCAGTATTGCAGGTAAGAACCAAAGATGGAGTGGACTGGTGTGATCCCAGGTTGTAGGCTGTGTGTTGTATAGTGTAGTTTTTCCACTCCTATGTAACTCTTTTGAAGTATAAAGACTGGTTAAGACAGAGGATGAACAATGGTTATACAATGATTTTTAGTGTTAAAATTTATTTCCACGGAGTCATTTATTTCTTGGTATCAAGGTTATCTGCTTTGTAGAGACAGATGTTTTAAACCAGCACCTCTTCATAACCAGCATCTGTGTCTAGTAACATGGGTCTATGTGTTTACTACATTTTACATGGAGTTAAATGACAGTCTTTAATAAAAACACATTCATCTTAGAGCTGCTTAAACATATTGTACTACCTTGAAGCATAGAAACCTCAAATTTACCTTTACGAGAGGGATGTAAGTAGTTATGGCTTATGACAAAACAAAAATTTGTTCCTATATTTTTGGCTTCTTCCAAAGTACCTAGACATATTTTATCTGTCATTTTGTGTGTGTGTGTGTGTGTGTGTGTGTGTGTGTGTGTTTCCTGTTTACAGTTAATTGTTAGCAGGTTCTGACCTATCCTTAAGTCCTGGGTAAGGGTTCCCACTACGTCCTCATCTATGCAATCACATACTCTCCTGATTTCTCACTTCTCTCTGCACTTGCCCATTGCAGTTTCTTCTACATAAAGCAATAAATTATGGAGGAGTTAAAATTTTCTACACTTTCCTACTCAAACTGTTCTTTGGTCGTTTTCACACTGAGAGTAGAATCGAACTCTGTTCCAGCCTCTCAGGCACCGAGCCCCCAGGCTCTTACAGCCTCTTCCACCCTGCTTCTGAAGATGTCCCATTAGGCCTGGGAGCTGGATGTGCCCTGTATCTGGAATATGGCTACTACCTTTGCTCATTCTTGAATATCACTGTCTGCATTAGTCACTCTGTGCTTCACTGTTTGATGTTTACAGAATAGAAAATCAGAACCCTTTGGTGTTTTGTTCTCCACTGAGTCCTGGAATCTAGATCAAGGCTGGCATGACAAATGGTTCTCAAGATTATTTTACTATGCATTAAGTGTATATGGGATGGATATTTCTTTGCAGGAGGAAAGAGAGTAAGGGTCTTTGTTTTTAGAAGCATAAATTAGAAATAACATGCAGTTTAACTCTGGTCCAACAAATGTAAACTGATGATGAAGGTGGACAGCAGGTGTGCTGTGGATACTTTATCCCACCCTCCTCATTCTCAACCCTCTTTCCTCTATTTGCAACTTTTTCTCTCCTAGGGTTTAATAAAAAATGTTGACCAAGTTGTATTTATTCCAGAAATGAAAATCAGTTAATGCACTCAATCACATTACTAGAATAAAGGAGGAAAACCATATGGTCATTACAGTAGTTGCAAGGAATGCTTTTATTAAAATCCAAGTTTGATTAATGACTAAGAGCTCAAAGAAGGCTGAAAAGATGGCTCAGCCATTAAAGGCTAGCTTACAACCAAAGTGTCAGAGCTCTAAGCAAGCTAGCTTTATTTTGTAGCCCTCATAGTATATCATGTAGAGCTATTGGACCCCTCCCCCATGACTAGGACACCCACTCTCACTATCTCTACATAACATGATATTGGAAATTGTAACCAGTGCAATAAAATAAAGGAAAGGAGTTAGGGTTAAGTTAGGATTAGGATTATAGCTAGAGAAAGAAGTAAAGGAATAAAAGATTCTCTTTATTTTTGAACAATGTAGCTATATGTGGAGACAATCCTAGACTTTCTATATAACTAACCTAGGATTTAACTAAATGTCAGTAAGTGAATCAGCCAGAAGCAGTAGGAGAAGAGAAAGAGAGAAAAAGAGAGAGAGCGAGCATATGAACTTGTGAGTACACACCAAGTACATGTCTATGTACATGCTTCCAGAGGCCAGAGGAGGAAGTTGAATATCTTCCTTTATTACCCTTCACCTTATTTTCTTGAGTCAGAGTTTCTGACTAAACCTGAAATTTGCTGGTTTGTTTGTTGTTTGTTTTTTTCCAGCTAGGATAACTGACTAGCAAGCTCCTTTCTCCCACCTCATGACTGGGATTTCAGGTATTCTGGCCACACCCAGCTTTTTTTTTTTTTTTTAAATGGGATCAAAACTCAGGTTTTCATGCCAATACAGCAAGCACTCTTAACCATTGAACAGTCTCCCCAGTCTAGAAATGAAAAGTTTATTGATAACATTTATAATAGGATCAAGAACCATCGCAGTCTAGGAAAAGATTTTACAAAATATGCAGGAATGCTATGCTTAGAACTGTGAGAAGCTATTATAAGAAATTAAAGAATGCCTCAACAGACGGGGAGCATGTTCCCAGACTGGATGATTCAGTGTTTCGAAGATACTGGTTCTTCTCAGTTGATCTAGAGATTAAATGACTTAAGTCTAATCATGATCAAAATCCCAACACGGTGGGTACATGTGTGCGTGTGTACATTTGTGTTTGAGTTTTCAAACAAGACAGTAAAAAGGTGAGCAGATCTTATCAGGATTTGGGAATGAAGCTCTGTTAGAGTACTTGTCTGACAGATATAAGGCACTAAGTCCAACTAATAGGAAAATGAGAAAGAGGAGGAGTAATATTATTTTCAACCAGGCGCACCTGTAATCCCAATTACTCAGAGAACTGAGGCATGAGGACCATTTGATCCTAGGAGCTCAGAGCCAGCCTTGGAAAATCTCTCAAAAAACAAAACAAAGCAAAACAAAAGGATAAAGATATTTCACAAAAAAAAGGTTCAACTGACTAATGAATATATGAAAAAGTATGAGGAGTATTCATTGCAAATTAAAAACAGTTTTACAGTTCAAGGCTGGCTATATAGTGAGTTGGAAATCAACCTAGGGTACATAGTGAGACCCAGGCATCCAAAACCAAGGATTGGGGATTTGGTTCAGCATCACAAAAAGAAACAACATAATCAAAAGCCATTATACCTTGACCATCATGACTCAAACTCAAAAGATCAACACTACCAAATGTTGGAGGAGTATGGAGCAGCAAGATCTTGCCAGCACTACCGAATGCAGGTGCTTTAGAAGTTCTCAGTGTTACACAGTTAGACCATAGGGTGGAGAAACGAATATCCCAACTACTCTACTTACTTTCCATGCAGAACTGCGTGGGATTTTTGCTAAGTAAAGGTCCATATGATGTATGTGGTGTGTACTTCTATGAAGCACATAATGTTTTGGTATTCTAATTATAAACCTAATAAATAATTTGGGTTGTTAGTAAATGGAGTAAGTCAGCAGTGAACAAGCAGATTTTTTTTTTATATTGCTTTTTTTTTTATGATGCTGTTGTCTTTAGGTTAGTTTAGCCTACTCTTATGAAACCAAGGATGCCTTGTGTTTGGTGCTAACCATTATGAATGGAGGGGATTTGAAGTACCACATTTACAACCTGGGCAATCCTGGCTTTGAGGAGCCGAGAGCTGTGTTCTATGCTGCAGAGCTGTGCTGTGGTTTGGAAGATTTACAGAGGGAAAGAATTGTATACAGGTAAGAACAGTGCGACATGACAGAGCCTGTGAGTGTTGGAGCCTATTCACATAAGTCCTGGCTTCCAGAGAGTTTTCTTTGGTTCATACTGGCTGTCATGGAAAGGGAAAGGGAAAACAGGGAGGCTTTGGGTGGCATTTTGAGGGGAAGGGGGGTTGTCCCTTAAACTTTAGGACCCAGCTAGTCAGAAGTGTACCTTGGTTTCCTTCTTAATTTATTTGTACTCTTCTAAGAAATTCTCTTTTTTTTTTTTGATACAATTTCTTCCTTCAAGCTGATCAAATGGACAGTGTAAGCATGAAAAAGCTTTTTTTTCAGAATTCTGAGATATTTGACAGCTCTGATAAAGACATTCATAATGTTCCAAGAAAAAAAAAAACAGAATCAAGTTTATTTAAAACATTTTATTTGCAATTTAGAATTCATTAGGAAAATCAAATTAAGCTGGAGGTCGTGCACACCTTTAATCCTAGCACTTGGGAGGTAGAGGCAGGCAGACCTTTGTGAGTCCTAGTCTGAGTCTGGTCTACAGAGTGAGTTGCAGAATAGTCATAGTCACACAGAGAAACCCTGTCTCAAAAAACCTAAATAAATAATAAAATTAAGCTTTGTGGTTAGAATTAGCTTAGTACAATCAGTATATTAAAAATTTGGAAAAAAAAATCATCTCTCTTAGATATTGGGGATTTTATACAGTGAATCACATTTTGATCACTTTCCCTGGGCACTTTTGTTTTCCCTTCCTGAGATTCAACTGCCAATCAATCCCTAATGAGAAATTATTTCCTCAAAAAAAAAAAATAGCGTGTGTGCATTTATACATGTGTGCATGTTTGCAGAATCACATGCATGAAAGAGTCCAAGTACAGCTTTGGGTGTCAGTTTTCAAATTTTAGCTTGTTTGAGGTAGGGTCTCTTGTTTGCTGCAGTACATCACTTGCTGGCCTGTGAGCTTCTGGACATTGTCTTGTCTCTGCCTCTCATCTCATTATAGGAACACTTGGATTATAGATGCACACTATATCACTGTGGGTTTTGGATATTTGGTTCAAACACAGGACCCCATGTAAATCTTCCCAGCCTCTTGAAAGAATTCCTAACTTTGTGCTTTTTAAAAATGAATTCCAGAGGGGCCTGTGTATCTCTTGCTCGTCTTCCCCACTCAGTTGGTCATCACTTTACTCTGGAATATTTCCTATTTCTTTCTTTTTTGAGACAGGGTTTCTCTGTGTAGCCTTGGCTATCCTAGACTTGCTTTGTAGACCAGTCTGGCCTCAAACTCTCAGAGATCTGCCTGCCTCTGCCTCCCTGAGTGCTGGGATTACAAGTGTGCACCACTGTGCCCCATACACTGGAATATTTTCAGCAGTCTCTATTTTCCATGGTGAGCAGTTTAGTCTATGTCTTTCTCTTGTCAGCCAACTGACAGTGGCTTGAATTTGCCTCCATATTGCCTGTGTTGCCCTAGTACATTTTCCAGAAGATCCTGTCAAGGCACGTTTAAATGCAGATCTGACCCTACTGCATCTTCCTCTGGTATAGGACCCTTATTTACCAGGTGTTCAGACCCTTTATGATACAGTTTCTTACTAACTTCTCTAGCCTTGTTTCCTGATGACCCATACTTGATCCCTCAGCCCTTGTTATTCAAGTGCATTTGTGGTTTCCAGAACATCTAAGAAGTCTTTAGAACTTTAGCTTTGGCATTATGTTCCTCTGTGGATGACTTTTTCATGGCAGTCTGTCTTCCTGTCAATATGAGAACCTCTGTTCAACTTTCTTGAGTTATTCCAGTAATGCCTCTCTCTTAGTCACTGTACTATTGCTATGAAGAGACATAATGATCAAGGCAACTCATCATGTAGGCTGGCACTGGAACAGTAGCTGAGAGCTACATTCTAATCTGGAAGCAGAGAGACAGAGAGAGACTAGGCCTGCCATGGACTTTTGAAACCTCAAGCCTACCCCTACTGACACACTTCTTCCAAGAAGACTACACTTCCTAATCCTTCTACCAAAGGGTTCCACTCCCTGGTGACTAAGCTTTCAAATATATGAGCCTATGGGGGCATTCTTGTTCAAACCACCACATCCTTTCCTTCCTGGGAGCATGAGCGCTGTCCTTCCAGCATCCTTATAGTGCTATGGAGGGCAGTTCTCAATCTAGAGTTGGTCACACCAGACTGTGAGCTTCTCCAGAGTCCCTGCTCTTGTTCATGCTATAATGATGGACCTTCATTTTTTTTCTCTACCTTATATATTTTATAACAAATTGTCTCCTACAGACCAGACACTAGCACTGCAGAGGAGCTGATACAGCCTGACCTTCAGTCACTGAACAAGGGGAAGATTACTGCCCTGACCATGATTCTCTAGAGACAAAGGTGCCACATCTGAATTGAGGATGCCTTGTTTGCTGTTATTTAGAGGTCACACTGATTTGGGGATCAAATCTGGAGGGCGTTGGATTCTGGTTTACTCACAGAGTAAATCAGGTTTACAAGGGACTTCACCCTGCTTGCCTTCAACCTCAAGGTGAATTCCTGAGTTGCCTGGAGGAGTCTCATTTTCTTAATCTTTTAATGTCTAGTGCCATTCAGGCAACACCGTGGAGAAAGTATGATTGGGGCATTTCCATGGGAGCTCCTTCTGTATCCATGGTACTTACTTTCAGTGGTGTCCCAATTGTTTTGTGAATGAATGACTTTTAGCTTCTAAAATGGCTCCCTCTAGTATGCCTCAAGGAAAAGAGTTTTGTTATTTTTAATGTTTTCATTCCTGTTTATAGAGGATGCCACCCATCGATTTTTATTAAACCATATACTAGAGACATGAGATTTGTTTTAAAAAATATTTTATTTATTAAATATTTATACAGTATTCTGCCTGCACATGTGCCTGCAGGCCAGAAGAGGAAACCAGATCTCATTATAGATGGTTATGAGCCACCATGTGGTTGCTGAGAATTGAAATCAGGATCTTTGGAAGAACAGCCTGTATGTACCCTTAGCCTCTGAGCCATCTCTCTAGCCTGAGATTTGTTTTGTTTTGGTTTCATTTGGTTTTTTCAAGATAGGCTTTCTCTGTGTAGCCTTGGAGTCCTGTACTCACTTTGCAGACCAGGCTGGCCTTGAACTCATAGCCTGCCTCTGCCTCCCTGAGTATTGGAATTAAAGTCACGTGCTACCAGACCTGGCTTATTTTGTTTTGTTGAGATAGGGTCTCACTATGTAGCCTTGGTTGCCCTGGAACTTGCTATGTAGACAAAGCTGGTCTCAAAATCATAGAGATCTTCCTGCTTCCACCTCTGTTGGGATTATAGTTGTGCAGCACCACTAAAGATAAACTTTATTAAAACTATGAGCTAGAGAGACAATTTGGTTTAAAAAGTTTGAATTGTCAGCACTCTGAAGATCAGAAAAAAGGAAGAACTATGTGAGGAACATGGCAGGGCTTCAATTAATTCTTTTTAGTTAGAATTGAGAGCCTAAGGGAGGGAGCACACAGCCAGGATGATGCCTGGCTTCAAGCAGGTTTTATAGCATGGTTGAGTCTGCCAAGGTGAGCCTTGTTCTTTCCATACATTTGCTTGAGTCAACTTGTGAGAATTCCCAGGAGTCCTGCTTTTAATGAGGCTGGGCAATGGGAGGAGAACGATGGACTCAACCAGGATAAAAGGGCTTCTTGAGCATTCTGACAGAAGTAATTGGGGGCCTTCTAAGGCCTATGCTGTGTCTCTTGATTTGTATCTTATTTTTGTAGATGAAAGATGAGGACATTGGGAGAAGCCATAGTGAAGTAAGGGCGTTTTATCTCACATTTTACTGGAGTACCCCATTGTAATGGAAGTTTTGGTTTCTTTGTATGTTATGTAAATATGTTTTTGTTTTAATCCCAAGTATGGGATTTTAGTTGGGCTATGTTTGGGATATGTTCTTTGCCAACTGGTAATGGCCTTCTACATTGCTACACAGAGAGGGATATGGTCTAGGACTCTTGAGTATAAATATGAGAGCAAGAAAATGATGGTATGATGTTCGACGGAGGCATTCTGTATGGCATTCAGTGTTGGCATATGACATGTAGCAGTTTGGAGAGACCAGAGACGGTATGGTGATTTGGAGCAGGCAGACAGAAACACTTCAGGGTGCAGTGGCATGGAGGAGCCTGCTAGTTGCATCTGTGGCTGATGGAGATGGGTAAAGAGCCCTAAAAGAACCCCACTGACCCTAAATAGCCAGGAGACATAAAGTGGTCTAGGACCCATTTCCCCAGTAACCTTTTTTGTCTCCTACTTAAGGTTGTGGAGTTGGTGGAAGGGAGGTAGAAGCCTAAACACCTCAAATAAAGTAGAGTTTTAAAACAGACTGCTACAGATGGCTCTCCACTATACTCTGTCTTTTTCTTTTTTTTCTCTTGTGTGTGTTCAAACAAGAAGTCAACAAAGGTGCTCAGCTCAAGATTGTTCAAGACTGCTGTCAGGCAGTGAGGCTGTTGTAATATTGATAGGCTCTTGGGGTTAGTTCTAATGCTCCTCCTCAAGATCTGGTTACACCTATTCTTGTTTTGTATACCTGCCTAGAACATACCTGATTGGTTGATTAAATGGACTATACCTGGGCAGGGCAGAATGAGATAGGCATGGCTAAAGTTCTCAGGCTTAGAGAAAAGGAGAATCAAGGAAAACAAACCAATGGGAAGAGAGGAGGACACCATGGTGTGTAAGTGTGGAAAGGAAACCACTTGGGCTGGGAGGAAAGACTCCAATAATGGCATGAAAAGGCCCAGATGAAGAATACAAGCAAATTCCGCGGGATTATGGATGGAAGGTAGACCACATGAGGAGGATTAAGGTGGATGGCATTGGATGGGGCCTGGGAGATGGACGGTGAGGATATTGAGACAGTGTAAGTGAAATATCTGCCTAGCCCAAATAAAGCAATTATAAAATCTCACAAGTGTCTGAGTCTTATTATTTGTGATAACGGTTTAAATAATCA